ATTATTTCACCAGGAATTGCAAAATGGTGATTTTCTAATTCTATCATTACTTATACATTTTTCTCTTTTATAGAGAAGAACTTTCCCTTTTCATCTATTTGGAAATTCACATATGAAAGGCAAGACAGATGTTTAATTCTTTCCCTTTAATTTTATTTTTCCCTAGAATGAGCTGGTGTTCTAGCAACCTTCAAAAGTTAAGAATATATTTTTTAAGGTATCATTTTAAACTCATGGTTTTTAATATACTTAATATGTTCCAATCCATTACAATCAGCATTCTTTTTGATAATCAAACTGCCCTATCTTTAACCAGTTGGGGTGGGGGCATCCCTTCAAGGTGGCTCTTATATCTTTTTATCATGACCCCGGTAGTCTTGGATATCTTCTTTGCTTTCTGTCATAAGATGTCCTGGGTTCATCTTCTGTTATATATATGTTTCCTGTCCAAACCAGGAGAAGGACAATTCTCTAAGAACCCTAATCCTTTCTGGTAGAAAATTATATTTAGAGAGCACAATCTGGGTAATTATTGCTCATGGTACTGGGTGGTCATAGACTAAGCCTTTTCTACAGACAGAGCTAAAAAAATAAGTTGTTTTTTTTTTTTTTAAATAAAGTTAATTCTGATATTTCCAATGTGAATCTATGATTACTGGGATTTAGTTCAATATTTTTATTGGTATCTCTTTTTTTCCGTATTTTAAATATTAGTTCCTAATGATATTATTATATACTTAATTTATCCTACAGTGTACCTATAACAGTCTCAAAAAAGCGATACAAGTATTTATTAACAATAACAACAAAAAGTTCCTGAATACTGTTAAGATATATCCCACTGGGGATGTCCAGAGAAAAACTATTTTAAAGTCACTTGAAATAATTTTTCTTTGGGTGCTTATGTCACCACCTTAATAAATACTTATATTCATTTAATTTAGTTAAAATTTAGTAAAATTTATTTCCAAATTTTTGGGGGGAGACTACGTTGCTTTCTTTTACATAATTATAAAACAAAATTAAATTTAAAAACACTTAATGATTCCAACTATAACACAAGGGTACATTCAGAGAAGTCTAGCTTCCATCCTTATCCCCTCTGCCCTGTTACCTCCCTTCAAAGGAAAAAATTTATATTAGCTTTTGGTTTATCCTCCCATTGTTTCTTTTTGAAAATATAAGCATATACACCTATTCATATCATTTCTTGCACAAAGGGACTATAGTATAAACAGAGTCTGAAAATTGCTCTTTTTCACTTAAATCTATCCTGGAGACAATTCTCTAACAGTATAGAATGCCTCTTCCTCATTCCATTCTGTAGAGGCATCTGTTACCTGGATGTGCCATGGTTTACTCAGTCAGTCCCCCATAGATGGGCATTCGGAAACCATTTTTATTACCCAGCACTTCTATTAGAACAGGAACTCCTTTCTTATCTAATCCCAGTCCTATCCTCGTATCTGGAAGGAGAAAGCCTCCTCTCCTTTTCAATTGATTTGCTTCTAATGGCTCACCCGGATATCAGCTTCCCCTGCACTGGCAAGATCTTGACACTGTAAGTTGTATCCTCCTTCCCAACTGGAAAGAATGAGCTGCCAAAGAATCAGAAAAGAAAGAAAAAAAAAATCAACACACAAATTTGAATGCAAACTGAATTTCCCATTCATGTCTCTGATTGGCATCTATTCAAGGTTTGAATTTGACTCAATCCTATGCTCAAACACATATTATTAAGGGATTTAATTCTTGCTGTTAAACTGAAATCAATGGTTATATATATTAACATATTTTACTTCTATTTACATCAGCCAAAATAATAGAATTTAGCTATCACTGGAGCCACAACATTTTATGTAAGGAATTATATAGTAGAATGTACCAAGTAAAATGTAGAATTTAATGTAAACAAATGTGAGGAAATTACACTAAAATTTTAATAATATTTTGTATTGATTTACACATATTTATTTTATTTGATCATCTCAATTTTATAAGATATGTATATATTGCCCCTTTACGATATGAAAAACAAAGCTCAGAAAGTTTCCTAAACCATTTTCTTCATTGTATTTATGCTAGTTGGTAATCAATTTATGTGATTAATTGATTGTCTATCTTCCCCATCACTCTCAAAAACAAAAATGCTACATAAAATCTATGCCTTTTTTTTTTTTTTTTTGCTCACCTTTGTATCTACAGTTCCTTGCCCAGTACCTGGCACACATTAAGTACTCAATAAATATCTGATGAGTAAATGATTTGCTCAAGATTACATGGAAAGTGGGAGAGCAATGGTTAGAATTCAGACTTCTTAATTCATTATTTAGTGCTCTTTTCACAACATCATGAGAAAAGGAGCTTTCAAAAAATTCTTTGTTGAAAATCCTATGAAGGAAGTTTTCTCCCTTTTTAAAATTTAAAATTCTAGCATATAGGGCATTTGGCATTGATTTACCTAAGGTATTATCATAGGCGAAAGGCCCACTGGTTTCTGCTGCTGTCTTGGAGGAGTGTAAAGGTATAGATCTGTTAAGGTATACACACAGAGCACAGAGGGACTGGATATTAAAGGATTGAACATTAAAAAGAGATAGACTATAACATTTAAAATGTTTTAGAACCTTTAAGAGTCTTTTCTTTACTGTCCTGATATACCTCTCTTTGCTTCTAACAAAAACACCTTTCAGTTAACATCACAATAATTAAAGATTCTCAGGATAAATAAATCCAGTGAGAGAAGGAAACCTTGGATTTTCCTGATGGCATCTATCACAGATCAGGTGCTCCCAATATCCCCCAGGGGCTTTATGCTCCTGGTTCTCAACTCGGAATCAGTAACAGGCTAGAGGGGATCTAGGAATACCTTAAAGTACATGTAAATTTTTATGTGTTCCTACATTTTTCAAACTAAGAAAGCTGTTTAACTCTGTGCACAAGGATTAATTAAGAATTTCTATGGTGAGGCTGCAGTTTTGTAGTAAGGGGCTCTAATCTCTCCTTTGTACGCTACGACACAGTATAGAGCAACCCGAGTGTGCAGAGGACAGGGCATATTCTCTGTTTCCCCATGACATTTCCTGCTTTAGTCATATTTATCCAGGCTGTCCCCATCCCTCTGGCACCTGTGCAGAACTACCTGACAATTTAATAACCAAATAGTATTAATATTACTAGAATTAAGCAGCCAAGCTATAGGAAACTGTGTGTCTTACCCTGGACCCTGATCCCCTAATGGTTTGGGTGCAGGAGCCATCCAAACATACGTGTTGAAGAAAAGGAAACAAGGCTGTCAAATTGGGTTAGCCTTAGGAAGGTATGGACTAAATTACTCCAAAATATACCTAGAATCTGTCAGCTTCTCCCCAACTCTACCTTAACCCAAGCTGCTAGCATCTGTTACCTGTAGTACTACAACCGTCTTCTAACTAGACTCTTTGCTTCCATTCTTACCCCCAACTCACCCTCATAGTCCATTTTCCACGTAGCAGCCAGTGATCTATTTTAAAAAGATATATCACTCCCCTCATTAAAATCCTCCAATAGCTTTCCACTACACTTAGAGTACAAGCCAAATGCTTCCAAGGCCCTGTGTAATTTGCCATCTCTCCACCCCATCTTGATCCAGTGTTTCCTCTGCCTGCTGTGTCATTCCATTTCAGCTCCAATGTCCTCTCCTCAGTGAGGCCTGTCCTACCACCAGCCCATCATTCACTTTCGCACGGGGCAAAGGCTGTGTTCTAGAATTTACAATAGAATATAACGCAGTATAGGAACTTGATACATATTTGTTGAAAGACTTAATAATTACTGCAGTGACTTCCCAGCCAAAGCAAACATCTGCTGGGGCATAACAAGTTGGCAAGGTTAAATCAATCTGTCACTTAAGTAGTGTCTATTAAACATACCCCTAAAATGTCAAAGAAAGACCTTATGTCTGCTCTGAAAGAGATTATAATCAAAGAGAGAAAACTGGGAGGCAATCAATGGTAGTGATTTTGAACTGGGAGATCCAAAAGTGTGAGAGAGAAAGAATAGATAAGCAATAGATAAAATTAGCAGCAGGGAATGTGCTCATACAGAGATGTTCTGCCTAGAAAAGACAGAAACCATTTACTTGGTTATTCTAAAACTAAATTGTTGTTCTTGTTCCTGTTGATGGTTACTAATAAACAACTAGCACTTTACAGTCTACATAGCATTTTCACATTTACCAACTGCTACTGCATGTTAGTCTGTGAGCTCTTCAAGTGCAGAAGCCATGTCATACCCATCTTGTACCTTTAAGGCTTCCTATTCACAGCACCTAGTAGGAGCTTAACAAATTTTTGCTGAAGAGAACTCATTAGTCCTTACAACTCACCCAAGAGTTATGTAGGATATTGTATCTCCACTTTACAGATAAGTTGCCTAAGGTTCAGAGAGCTTAAGTAACTCTTCTAAAATTACACAGAAGGTGACAGGGCTAAAACTTAAACTCACATCTTCTGACTCCACTATGTCCAAGCTCCGTCCAAACAGGAGGGTGACTGCTGACGTGGTCAGACATGCAGTCTGGCCCTTCTGATGCAGATGCTACTTCTGAGAAACAATCCAAGGAAGACTATCTTTCTTGATACTACATAGAGAAAACTAACTCCATAAACTGCTATCTTGCAAGCTCATATAGTGAGCTAAAATTCCCCTAGTAAAGAACCAAAATAAAAACAGTCCTTTCAGAGTAAGGTAAATTAGTGAGCAGCTATGTGATATGATTTTAGAGTTGTCAGCGTGGCTTTCCTGACCCCAAATTCCATCTCCTGCATTCTGTTGGCTAAAATTCCATTACTACTGCTTCATTCTAGTCATTTAAGGTAATATGATTAAGCATTATTAGAATGGTGCATATCAGAATAATGTACAAAATAAAATCTGGGTGAGAGAATCTAAATTTTAAGGCAAGGATTTATTTTCTTTTAGAACTCAAGTGCACCAGAAGGCAGCTGTATTTGTGCCATTATCAGCCATTTATAACTTGTATGAATGATTTTATTCTAACTTTTCTCTAAAAAAGATTTTTATGTTTTTATTCCTTTCGTCTTTTTTTTTTTTTTTTTTTTTTTTTTTGCTACAGCAAGTTTATTTCACAATTTTAGATTTTCCCTTGTAGTAAAATAACTTTTGGTTGTATAATCAGGGCAATCGTCACTTTTTCTTTTTCTTGTAAAATTACTTCGGTTGTGCTTACAGAGGAGTGAGAGCACATGAAGTAAGGTCACTAGAGCTTAGCTGGAATGTCAGCTCCTGAGAAACAGCTAGGCCACTGTCAGAGTGTTCCAAAGATGTGCAGAGTATTCTTTAAGGCATATATATATATTTTTTTACATTTCAAACTAAATGAATTTGATATTTAAGTTAATTTAAAAAATATTCTGTTAATCACTGTCTATTCTCAGGCAAATTATATAATTTTTCTAAGCCTTAGTATTATAATCTGTAAATGGAAAAAATTATAACATGAACTTTAGGGCCATTCAGACCTAAATTGTGACTCTAAATTACAATTAGACTAAGGACTAAAGAAATAGACCCAAATTGGGATTAGAAAAATTCAAGAGAGAAACAAGGACTTCCAAGACTTTCGGAAGGAATGATATCAAACTCTGGAACAAGTTCTTGAGGTCTTAAAGAACAGTATTGATAGTAACCTTGGATAGTTCCAGTAAGCTAGATGTGATTGCTTCTAAAAATTGCTCAGTTACTGGACTCCAGCTTTAGCTACATAATCACTTACCTCTGCCAGCATATATGCGGAGAGAAGTGTGATCGCAAGATTATACAAGGTGAGGATACCCCTGAGAGAAAGCGCAGGTCTGTTCTTCATATATTTGTTACCCAGCCATATTGAAAGCAAATATATGACAGTAAGAAAAAAGGTAGGAAGGTAAGAGTCCAACATGAACCACCCTCTGACTCGAGCATCTGAAAAGAAACACAGTGAGAATCATGAAGGTAACACTTCTGTTTAATTGTCAATATTGCCACTTACATTGTATTTGTACATACCAGACGCAACAGGGAACAATATGATACATCATTAAGTATTATAGTAAAATAGCTATATAAATATAGGAAAATAGCTATAGTACAGTTGTTTTACTATAGTAAAATGCCAGATTTAAGTTAGAGTTTAGGGGAAGAAGAAACCAGTGGGGGCTGAATAGTTAAGGAAGGTTTCACGGTGCAAAAACATGGCTTTACCTGAACACTGAATGACAAGAAAAAGAAAGAAAGATGGGAAGTAACAGTTCTTGAATGCTTACTTTAGAACAGTTACTGCGTTTATTTACTCTAATTCAATTAATATGAAGTAAGTCCTATTATGCCATTTTACGGACAAAAAAAAAACAGCTCAGAAAGTTTTAGTAACTTGCAAAAGGCCACACAATAGTTGGCAACAGAGTCGGGATGTGAATTGATCACCTCTGTCTCCCAGCCCATTATACCTTGCTGCTATCCTCCCCTGGAGACAGTCTGAGCAGTCAGAGGAAAGAAGGCATACAGATATTGTATCCTCATTCGTAAAACCCACACTGCCCAGGATTTGCCAGGATCATTGTGCAGTAAACCAGGAATGGGTTTAGAGTTCCTCTGATCCAAAGACAGCAACAGATGACAGTACAGCAAGCGTGGGAATCTGAAGATAGCCTTGGAGCTGATGATTCAGAACTGAGGGCAGAAAATAAAACCAAAGACCACGAACTGGCCATGGGACCAGAAGTATAAACAGCAGGGAAGCAAGAACCTGGATACATCAAGGGCCCCTTACTCTGGAGAGTGAAAATTTAAAAGCCTAAATAAAACCCACATAATAGATCTATAATATAACTAGTAACCCCTGAAAATAATTGTAGGCATAAATGATTTTTGTTCTCTATTTTGGTTTTCTTGTTTGTTTAAATAATTTGGCCCAGAAATATAAAAATTGCATGCTGTTTTTAATCTCTATAATAGAGGTGTAAGGGGCTGGTTTTGCCAACAAGCAATGCCCTTTTCTTGATTCTTTGGTTTTGCCAGTTTCAGGCCCTATTCCTGGCATACTCTGTCTACCTGTCTACCACCAGTCTCTCATTAAGCCACCCATCCTACACACAGTGCCATTTCTACGAGGAAAGGCCTTCTCAAGCTGTAACTGTCCCATCACGTATTCTGTAAATGTCTCCCCTTGATGATAAAGATAAAAAGGTAGGAAAGCTCTTCTCAGCATTCATGTGACTAATGATAACTACCTTTCATACAACTAGCTCACAATCACCTGTCATAAAAGCCTGTGCTGTGTGCCACTTCCTAATGTTCATCTCCCTATCTAAACCCTCTCATCCTTTAATGCCCAGATAAACATCCTGCCTTCTGAAGGGAGACACTTTCTACTGCTCTTTCATAATTTACAGCTCCTCATTTGCATAACAAAATAATTACCATTTTATAATTTATGTATTTTATGGTTATAATACTGTTACTATGACTAACATTTACTGAGCATTTATTCTGTGCCAGGCACTGTCCTGAAGCCTTTTACGTGTATTAACTTACATAATGCTCATAGTGATCTTATTATATAGGGTGTAATTGCTACCCTACCTCTTGTTATGGTGCTGTGGTTTGAATTGTATCTTGCAAAAAGATACGTTCAAGTCCTAACTCCTGGTACCTGTGAATGTGACATTATTTGGAAATAGGGTTTTTGCAGATGTAATCCAGTTAGTTAAGATGAGGTCATACTGGATTGGGGTGGGCCCTAACCCAGTGACTGCCATCCTTATAAGAAGGGGAGGTTTAGACACAAGGATACAAAGAGGAGAATGCCATGTGAAGATGGAGGCAGAGATTGGAGTGATGCATCTACAAGCTAAGGAACACCAAAGATAGCCAGCAACCACCAGAAACTAGGAGCGAGTCATGGAAGAGATTCTTCCCTGGAACCTCAGAGGGAGCACAGCCCTTCCGGCACCCTGAGTTCAGACTGTCACCCTCCAGAACGGTGAGAGAATATATTTCTGTTATTTTAAGCCACCTGGTTTGTGGACCTTTGTCATGGCAGCCCTAGGAAATGGACAAACATGGGTTAGTACTTAACTGCTTTCTAACTGTTTCAGACGCACTAGTGTTACTTCCTCAACTACAGCACATGCTCCAGGAGACAGCAGCTAGGTCTGACATTGCTGCTCTGTTTCACTTCTGTCTACTCAGTGCCGAACTAAGAGGAAACATCCATTAGATATGTATCGGTTGGCACATGGAGTCAAGCACATACTGCAAAACTAATATAGCACCTGAAGTTTTTTATTTACTTTGTCATGGTCGTATAAATTGTTTGCTAAAGGTGTTAAGGAAAATCATAATCATTCCAACCAAAAAATGAGAACAAATACTCGCAATAACATTTCTTATCTTTGGGACTTGAGAAATGTTATCTCTGCATCTGTGTCAGGCATTTGTCCAGAACAATATCCTTGATGGTCTAGGCAAAATCAGAGAAGACTTGGGGACGTCGAGAAGTTTACTAGGCGACTTGCCAGTCAACTTAAGCTTGTGTCACTTTTAGGAAGGGAAAAAGATTCTTGATGGCTTAGATGCTAGACACCTTGTCACTGTGGAAGTCATCTGATTTGGTTGTCGACTGTCAATTCTACAATCTCCTTGTTACAAAGGAAACTTCCATAAAAATGACCAATGCTGAGTAAACGACTGGGATCCTTTCTTCAGTTGATCCCGTATCCACATGACTCCCAGTCACGGCGATCTTAACTGATGGCAAAGTTCAGTGTGAACTTGGCTCAGAAAGATTGCTGTTTAACTCTCTTGTGGAAGTGTCCAATAGAAAGCCACAGTCACCAAGAAATCATAGTTCCCTTCGTATCCTGCACACCTAAGTGAGAGGGTGACGCCCTCTACGCTGAGCTGTTCTCCTCCCCACCCACGAGAACTGTGGGGGAGACGACACATTAAAGGAGGTTATGAAGGTAATGATAATCCTGCCCTTCCTGCCCCATAGGATCAGGAGGATAAAATGGGAAAAAAAAAAAAACAAAAAACCTATGTGAAAGTATTTTTTAAGCTGTATACAATCATTATATTGTTATATTAAAACCATATAGTCATTGACTTAGAATAGTTTATGGCCCTATGTAGAAACTGGAGAATGGTCTAAAAACTCTCTAAGTGATTGTTTAAAGATTTTGAGAAACAGAAAAACCACCCCATTTCCCTCCTATCTCCCCCAATAATGCTGTAGTGAACCATGGACTTTCCACAGTTCTGTGAATGAGCAACGCTCAAATAAAACAAAACATTTTGTCTAGGATTCACTCATTTATTTGCAAAATATACAATGCCTAATATTTTCCCAGAACTATAATAAGCCCTGGAGTTAAATGGCGAGTAAAATAGTCATGGTTCCTGCCTTAATGGGAGAAATGGCTATTAATAACAATAAAGTAAGTGAAGGAAATAAACAGGGATTGAGAAAGAGAATAATGAGGGATCTGCGGCAGTCCCCCCACTACCTGCAAGGGGTACGTTCCAAGACCCCCACAGGATGCCTGAAACCACAGATGGTACTAAACCCTGTATATGCTATGTTTTTTCCTATACATACATACTGTGATAAAGTTTAATTTATGAATCAGGCATATAAGAGAGTAACAACAATAAAATAGAACCACTATAACCATACTGTAATGGTGAATGTGGTCTCTCTCTAAATATCTTATTGTACTCTACTCACCTTTTTCAGAGTGCAGTGGACAGCGAGTAACTGAAACCATGGGAAGTGAAACAGGACAAGAGCGGACTATGTCCTTTAGAGGGGGAGAGCCCATCTGAAAAGGTAACACTTAAGCTAATACTTGAAGTTTGAGAAGTAGCTGACTAGATTGGAGGACAGGGTAGGAGACGTGGGGGAATTCTAGGCTCAAGGAACAGTATATCAAAGAATTTTACATATTTGAGAAATTAAAAGATGACTCGAGCAGCTGTATCAAAGCCAGTGAGGGAGACTGCCGCCAACTGAGCTGGAGAGGTAGCAGGGCTAGATAACACAGGGTACGCAGTCTGAGACAAGAAGTGTGATTTTCACCCCGAAGGCAGTGGGAAGACATCGATGAGTTTTGCTCTAGCGTACCACAGGATACGATTTAGGTCTTCAGAATATTATTCCAGCAGATACTTAAAAACTGATTGGAAGAGGACAAAAGTGGAAGAGGAGAGAGGAGTTAGGAGGACACTGCAGTAAAGTGGTGACAAAGGAATGATGGAGAGACATCTGAGCTGATCCTAAGGGCCTGGGCAGAGAAACACACAAATCTTTAATGGGGATTCATTGAGGCATGTAAGAGCAGAAGTATCATATGTGACTGTGCCTGGAGGAAGGTGGAAGGTGAATGCGTGTTGGAGAGAGGAGAGGAAAGCAGCATAGTTTAGAAGGAAAGCTACAAACTGGTTTGGCCGCCAGAGAAACCCTGGAAGAAAGTACTGCAGTTAATTCTGTGCCCACTTCCTGCTCCTGGAACTTCTTTAATCCCAAGACAGGTTGAGCATGAGTAGAAATGGGGCCTTCTGGATGTTCTAGGAGAAGTATATTAAAGGCGAGGGAAGTTAAGTTTCTAAATGTTAAGCACCATGCTATTTTCAAGACACCAGAAATACCATGATCCTTTTCTATAACTAAATGGCATTCTTCCTTGTGTTCCTTCCACATTAAGTTTTCAAGTAGCTCACTTACCTCGAGGTCCAAACATATTGTCCAAAAAAGCATTGATTTCATCATCAAAGGCCTTTAGATGCTCCTGAAAAGGGAAAGAAAAGAATGATTTAAGTGGTGGTGTTTTCTTGTGTTTTTTTTTTTTTTTTTTTTAAACTCTCAAAACAAGCCAGTACCAATGACTAGAGGTTGACAG